CAGGGAGGAATTACCTTCTCCAATTTCCATTTTAAGCAAAGAAGCACTGGAGGGTGAGAGTTATTGCTGGGCTCCCAGGGCTGTGTGTGCGGCGGGTGGGGATGGGGTTGGCAACAGACTTGTTAAGGTAAGAGGTTTGGCATCTAGTCCTCTCCTTCCCAGGAGCCTTTCAGTTCTCCAGAAGGATGCTCCCCAGAGGCCTTGCTTTCAAATTCAATTGGCAATAAACAAGGATGATTTGCCCAACCGAGGCACATGAGACTAATCCTGGAGGAGAACGTAAGCCCTATTTTGCTGAGCAGCAATAACCCCATGTGTATCACCAAAGGGGATAATAGAGTCAAGTGAGACAAACTCAGAAAGTCCAGAAAAGAGAGCCTCCTCTGGAGGTGAGATCTAGACAAGACTGGCCTGGGAAAATGGAGGAGGAAGAACCCTTGATGGGAGCCACTCATTCTAGCTTTTATCTCTGTAGCCCACCCACCCTCGATGGATGAAGTGCGTGAAGGAGACAGGAGACTACTTCCAGCCTACCCTGGCAGCCTTGTTTGTTCGTGAGGCCTTCAGCCCGAGCACCCAAAGTGCTGTATGTGAGGGCTCTTCCCAGCCTATGTCCCTCCACCTCCTCCCACTCAACCATCCACTCCTAATTCTGTTGACTTTGTCCTTCTTGATGGTATGTGTGGTCAGGGAATCAGTCACAGAGAGAGGGTTCACTATGAGAGAGAACCCAAAGGAGGACATGCTGCATCTCGAGGGTCTGCACAGTTTAGCTATGGGACACAAAGTGTACACAATATAAACTAACTTGAACAAGTCACCCAACTTTCCTGCTCTGTCTCTTCAACCATAAAATGAGAAAACTGAACTCCATGACCTCTTATCTGTGATTTTTTAACAACACGTGAAACGACGTGAGAAAGGAATGACATAAGCTTAAGAAATGCAGATAAATACTGAACACTTTTTTGAGTGCCTACCATGTGTCCGGTACTCTTGTAAACACTCTGCATGAACTACTTTAATTCCTAGTATCATCCCCACTTTATAGAAGAGAGAACGGAAGCACAAAGAAGTTAAGTAACTTGCCCAAGGTCACAGAGCTACCAAATGCCAGAGTCGGGATTCAAACTCAGGTTCCTGGTATTGTCATCCATTTTTCTCCATCAAGAAAAGATATACACAAGATGGTAGATGTTTGGGAAAGCGGTAACTACACAGTCATGTTATGAAGCCGAGAAGACTTCAGCTTGCTTAAGATCCCAGGAAGATGCAGAGAGGATATGCATGACTTGATAAAGAGAGTGTGAGGACAAGGGCCCTCAAGAGCAGAGAAGGGAATAATGGTTCTCTTCTTCCCTCCACCTTCTGAGCCCATTGCCTGGCCAAGAGTCAGGAGGATGTCTCCCTCCTCTTGGAGGTTGCTATCTCCCCACAGAAAGGAACTGTTTCCCCTATTGACCCACATGCATGACCAGCTCCCACCTTCTCCTTCTGTGCTTGGCACTTCCTTTCTATCTCCACAGATCTTTGTACCCTGGGTTTTTGGTCAACTAGTAAATATTACTTTCCACTTTCTCTTTCTGAAATCTTCCCCCTTCTCTGCCAACTTCTCTGGGCCAAGGCCTCCTCCCAGAGGCCCAGTGGGCAGGACCCAAGACCGAGGCTGGCCTTGATCCTGTTTCTCTATTCCCATCCCCTCATGCCCACAGGCCATGGAATTATTCACTGAGATCAAGGATGCCCTCATCACTCGTCTCAGAAGTCTTCCCTGGATGGATGAGAGGACCCAGAAAGAGGCCCAGGACAAGGTAAGGCCAGGAGAAAGTGACTGTGGGAATGAGCAGGGGGTGGAATTAGGTATCAGATCAAGAGATCGCAGTCACTGGAGGAGAGTTCAACAGGCACAAGGGCACACAGCAAGTATAGATATCACTGTGTGGCACGCATACCCTAGGGACAATATAAAAGGCAGGGACAAGGGCAGTAAGCAGGAGAAATTCTGTCCGACAGACTCAAGGTAGCTAAGTTCCTTCTAACTTTTGTGTCTCTTGCCAGGTCACGCAACTTCAAGTAAAGATGGGGGCCCCAGAATGGGCCCTGGAGCCAGCACTGGCCAGACAGGAATACAACGATGTGAGTCCCTGCCCTTTCCAACTCCTCCTTAGTCCTCAACTTCTCACACCCCTGACCCACCTGAGTAGCAGACAATCCATTTTCCCTGGATGATCCTAACCCACCCCTTCCTTACCCTGGGGCTGGCTGGGCTTTATGGATGAAGATCCACACTGCGGGTCTTCCTGGCAGAAGAATGGAAAGTTTTAGGTCATGATGAGTGTGTGCACACAGGCACACAAGCATTCTTGTGACTTGCCTGAGTGCGTTTATCTGTGTGCTGATATGTGTGAAGCTTGTCTGTACCAATCTGTGGTGGTGTCATTGTGCTGGTCTCCTCTGTACTGGGGATATCTGTGTGTCAGAGTTTATCTGTTTGGGTTCAAATGTACCCCTCAGGGCATGTCAACGTGCATCTCTATCTGTCTCTGTGTGTCCGAGTCACCTCCTGCCTCCTCCAGATACAACTTGGATCCAGCTACCTGCAGTCCCACCTGAGCTGTGTCCGATCCCTCCGAGCTAGAATTATCCAGAGCTTCTTACAGCCTTCTCCTCACCACAGGTATGAGAGCGAGGGAGACACGGACACTGCATTCCACAGATATCCATCGAAAATTCACAGGAAAGCAAGCTGGGGTCTCAGGGAAACAAGAACAGAGATAGTAGGTGGGAGGGACTGCGTATGTCTGGTGAGGAGGGCAAGAAATGATGGAGCTGGTGTTCATTTGCCCTTCCCCCAGGTGGCAGGTGCTTCCCTGGGAGGTCAATGCTTACTACTCAATATCTGACCATGTTGTGGTCTTCCCTGCCGGACTCTTCCAACCCCCGTTCTTTCACCCTGGCTACCCCAGGTACGGGCCATTCTCTGAGGGTGGGGAGGAAGTTTCCCAAAAGTGATGAAAAAATATTATGATGGATGGCACTTGTTGTTGGAGAATTGGAGTCAAAAACTTTGAAGGATTCTGGAGGTAAGACACACCATTTTCTCTGCAGAGCTGTGAACTTTGGCGCTGCTGGCAGCATTATGGCCCATGAGCTGTTGCATGTCTTCTACAAGCTCTGTGGGTAACAGTGGGCCATTGGGAATGGGGCCATTGGGAATCCAGGTGAAGGCCCCAAAGGAGGCCGAGAGGAGGAGAAAGGGAGGTTATGCAAGGGCTCCAGGTGGGACAGTACTGAAACCTTTGCAATGCTCCTGGGAGCCAGCTCTGTCTGTGGTACCCCTATGCACTTACCCTTGCACCATACCTCACCATTTCATTCCCCTGCCCCATTTTCAACAGTACTCCCTGGAGGCTGCCCAGCCTGTGACACCCGTGCCCTACAGGGGGCATTGCTGTGCCTGGAGCACCTCTATGCTGCCTTTCCATTACCCAGAGGAGTTTCCTTCAATGGCTCCCGCACACTCCTGGAGAATGCTGCAGACACAGGGGGGCTAGTTATTGCACTAAAGGTAACTCACATCCTAAGGGTTAGGATCTCTTTTTGCCTGCAGAATAAACACTCTGTCTCCAAGTTTTTGTTCTACCACTTCTCATGCAAACAATACAAAGCTTTCTGGCCTTCACATTGCCACTGAACAGATGGCAACTTGGGGATGCCCCTCCTACACAATAGATCCCTCTTTTCTAGGATATCCATAGTTCTTCTGGCAAGTACATTTTCACCAGGCTCACACCAGTGTGTCAGTGCAGAACTTGGGGAAAAGGGCCATGAGCTGGTTTCGGGTGTTGTGTGTAGGGCATCAGACTTGCAAATGGCCATGGGTCTGGAGCCTAAGGACTACTCTCCATTGCACCCCCATATCTAGGCATATAGAAAGAGGCTATTATGGCACCGCGGGGAGACTGTCCTACCCAACCTGAACCTCAGCCCCCAGCAACTCTTCTTCCGAAGCTATGCCCAGGTAGGCAGCTGCCAACTCTCACAGCGTGCTTCGTGTCAGATAAATACCCCATTGTTAATGCTCAAAGAATCTCTCTTCTATGTGACATCTTCTCCTAAATGCCCCCAGCCCTCTGATGCAGATGTGCCCACTGTCAGCCTTTCACACACACCTTCTCGGGACTTTGCTTTCATACTACTACAAATTCATCTACCAAATTCAGCACCTCCAAAAAAAAAATGAAAAAATTACTTCCAAATCCCTCCCTGAGATGAGCCCAACATTTTTCTTCTCTCATTTCTTCTCCTAGAAATCCAGACCCCATAAAAATGACCCTTAATAAACTGTCTATAGACCACATTCCTCCTCAGAGACCTTGCCCCCAGGTGTGGGCCCCACCTGACATAACCCCTTAAGTACCATGTGTCCCTCAACAGACACTGCTCCTAATTCCTCAGTGCACCTAAAGACCCCCTCACAGAGTTCTTTCAACACACCTCACCTCTCAGTTACTTACAAATGGTCTGATTACATGGCCAGGCCCTCCCCCAGACCCTACTGACAGATTAAATGACCTGCAAGTGGCAAATACTCTTCCTCTCTTTGCGAGACCCTTTGTTCCTATCCTTGCTCTCTTCTTTCTCTGATGTCCCTAGTCAGCTCCTAGTCTCCAGGTCTGCTTTGTCCTACTGACCCTGATCTACCCTGCTATTCTCCTTACCTGTGTGGACCTCTCTTCCTCCCCAGGTGATGTGTGGGGATCCCAGCACCCAGGATTCTCAGGACACTCACAGCCCTCCCACCCTTCGAATCCACGGGCCCCTCAGCAACATCCCAGACTTTGCCAGATATTTCCGCTGTCCACGTGGTGCCCTCATGAACCCTTCCAGCCACTGCCCACTCTGGTAACCTGGCTACCAAAGAGACCTCAATACAGATCTAACAGATTTGTCAACATCTCACCGTCCCTCCATGGAATCATGGAAATATCTCCTCTCACCTTTTGTTCCAAAAATAAAAGCTAGCGTTTGGCTTCTGCCTGTCTCTTAATGACTCTTTCCTGCTACATTTTATGCCTAGAAGTCAGAAAAGATAAGGGGAGAAAATGCTATGTAGAGTTTCATAGACACAGGAAAAGGAAAGAACCAATGACTGGTGAACTGGTGGGTCTAAAGGTCAGTGGGCCAAAGGTTGGGCGATTAAACGGACTAGTTGGACACAAAAGGGCTTTGGTGAAGCTCAGAAATCTGCCCCCGATTGTTGTCAAGATTTTATTGCTATTACTTTTACTGTTGTTGCCTCCTCCTCCTAATCTGCTGTTTTGAACAAAGCCAGGAGAAGTGTGGGAGAGAGGGCAGGGGTCTGGTGTCCCTGGCCCTGGGAGACGGAGCTCAGAGTGTGGGGAGGCAATCAGGCAGTGGCGATGGACAATTGAAAGGCCAGCTCCAGGATCTCTCTGATGCTGCATCCTGAGGTAAAGGACCACTGGCAAGGGGCAGTTAGCTGTGTGTAGGTCTCCCTCGGGAGTACTGACCTGGAGCCCAGTTGGGAGAGACGGTCAGTAAGCTATCATGAAGCGGAGGTAGACATCTAGGTCCTCATCCAGGAACCAGGCCACCACCTCAGCCTCAATGTCCCTCATAAAAAAACTATAATGCTGGCCAGATTAAAGCAGAAGGCTAGGTCAAATAGGTGGTCATGAACAGCTGCCGTCTCTGATGTCATGTCCTCCTCTTGCTGGGCCATGTCCACCAACTGCCACATCTCACCCACTGAGGAGGCCACAAAGTGCTCTTCGAACTGCTCTTGAACCTGGTCTGGAACAGGGGAGAGGGGAAAGCACTGAGAGGACTGACCCTACCCTGCCGCTACCCCACCGCTGGCCTGCACCAGAAAGGGAAAGTTGCAGAATATGGCGAGAGTTAGGGCCTGGGGCTTTTAGCTCAACCGCCTGTATCCTTATTCTTGATCAGAGAGGTGATGCTCCATGTGGAGTTCTCTTCTGGTCTGAGTGCAACCACCGCCCCAACTCAAGTGCACGCACACCTCATTTCCAACTCCGACTGCCTCCTCCAAAGTGCTAGACCATCTGGGGAGTGAAGGACCACCTTAGAAAAGGATGAAAACCAAGGACCCTCTTCTCAGAAAAATGCACCTGTGCTCATACACAGGAAAGCCACTTGCAATTTCAACTAGCCCATGGTGTGCCCCTGAATATGGCCATGGCTGACAGCCCCTGCTTTAGACCCCACATGATGCTTTCGTACTACAATAACAGGGGACTGGGATTATTTCCCATAACCCAAATCGATCTTAGATTTCATTCTGACCTGGTAAGTAATCTGGGCCTGACTGCAAAGAGGTCTGATTCCTAGCTCCCCATGTTGCCTCCCTTGTCTCTACCTACCTGTGGATGCTGTTTTCTCTTTCTGACTCCTCTCGTCGGGGCTTGGACTCCCTTTCTGAGGCCTCACCTCCTTCACCCGCAGCAGCAGCAGGATGGCTGCCAGGAATGCTGCCCTGCAGAGCTGGGAGCCCAGGGAAGTCATGGGCCTGCCCATCTGCGGCCTTCAGTCCTCCCTACTCCCTGGTGCACAGTGTGCACAGTGGGCTCCCCCCACCTCCCTCTCTTGTCCCCGTCCTGGCCCTTACCCCTTCCCAGCGCCGATTTCTTCCCTTCCTTTCCATAGGACCTCTGACTTCATGAGCTCTGTGACATCACAGCCATGGGCCTGACCCTTGTTCCAGCTCACTAGAGAGTTCCATGGCCAGGCAGGAGAGTGGAGAGTAGCCAGCTGGGGACAACAGAGGCTTCTAGGATGACCATAGTGGGTCATCTTGTGGAGAACAACAAAAATGACTTGAGTTTGTGAAATACTTTCACATCCATTATATCACTAGATCTTCATAGCAACCAGGACTCAAAGTAACAGTTTTATGATGCCAATTATAAAGATGAGGAAGTTGAGGTTCACAGAAGAAATGACTTTCCTACTCAAGATCACACAGAATATAAGGGGCAGAGCAGGATCCTCGATCAACTCTTGTGATTCTGAATATCACATCTTCCCACTCTTCCATGCAGCCTTCCTCGAAGGAAAGTGGCTTTCACAGGATGAAGCCCAAATCAGATGCAGAAATGAAGATCCTCAAGTCTTGGGCTGTGCATGATCCAAACAGGTGAGAGGGTGGCTGGGGAGTGGTACAGGAGGTCACTTGGCAGTGGGGGAGGAAAGATTCAAGTAAGCAGATGACCTTGCTCACCGCCACCTTGCACTCATTGACCTGTCTGTCGGCCCAGGGAATGATGCTTGGGTGAAAAAAAATCACTAATCTCCCCCGGGCTATTTCAGGGGAGGAGCCTCCTGGCTCCCAGCTAAAAGAGAAGCCATCTCCAGCTCTGGGGGTGTCGACGGGGAGGGTGCCTGGGAGTGGGGAGTGTCTTACAGGGCAGGCTGGTATGGAAAGAACCGGGTTGTACTGAGCACCATTACCTCCATTTCCATGCCTCCCACCTGCCCGACTCCCCTTGCTGAGAAAAGATAAATCCTTGCAGGAAACCAAGAATCCCTTTAAGTTTTTTGCTTCGTACAAAAATATTAAAAAATATATGAAAAACGAAAAAGCTAATAATTCCACCATCCAATGATAATCACTGTTAATGTTTTGAAGTATAGTATTCAAATCCTTTCCCTTTATGGCTCTGGCCATGTGGGGTGGGAGGATATTTCCTGAAAAATAATATGCAGCTACTATGTGTTTTCTTCCTCCTTATCACATCAGAATTAGAGGTCTGGCTGCTTTGGCACCTAGGGGTTCTGGGACCTGACAGCATAGTGAGATGCTCCCGACTGCTCCTCCTGGACACCTGGGAGGCATTACTGACTCATGCTGGACTCTGAGGCATCATTGGGCTGGGAAGCTGCTACCTGACAGAGATTGTAGGTGTCCTTGCCTGCAGAAGGCTGAAGGAGTATGGAGAAGAATGAGAGGAGAAAAGAGAAAAATAGGATGGTGATGTGGAATATGACAAAGGTGAAGGAGTAGTGGGCAGGAAAGCCAGAGGAGAGAAGAGAAGGGAACTCCTCAAAGATTAGGAAGGAGTTTCTAAAGCTCCAGCCACCAGCTGGGATAGGTGGTACAGCTGGGTCCCCCTTGGGCAACTCATACATGCCCCTCCCATTTGAGAGGACAGTGCAGGCAGAGAAGAGCAAGTGAGACGGTGAAGATCCAGAGGTGGGGGCCCACACACTGGGCCCTGCTTTCCTCCTCCCAGATTGGGAACCTTGCCCTTGATGGCGAAGCCCCAGTGCACCTGCTCTGTGCGGCTCTGACCAGGCCAGCCCCTCCCCGCCCCCACCCCCTCCAGGATTAGCTTAATGGGTTGAGTGTTTCCTCTGCCAGCCCCTGCTTATCAGGGCATCTACAACCCCCACCTTAACCTTATCGATCCCTCCATCTCCTTAGACTGGAAGTCGCAAGGCTTCAGAGGTCATTACCACCCCACACTGCCCCAACCCCCAACAATGCGGAAAAATGTCCCACAAGGTGACCCCCTCCGCCTTCCCAGCCAGCATCTCCCCACACCCTGGGTGACAGCATGCTTTCTCCTTGCCTAGGTATCTACTCTTTCTTTCCTTATTTATTTTCCTTTCAATTCTTGTCTTACACTAAAGGTTATTTTGTCCGTCCTTCAGTCTCTAGAGAAGCACTCTCATTCTTCCAGCAAAAGGGGAAGATCCCCTCTCCTGAAGATCCCAAGGGAGAGGGTCCACAGCCCATCTCAACCCATGTCTCTCACGTCTTTATAGGCAGAAGGCTCCCAAGAAGCAAAAAGGTCTGACAGGTGTTTTGAGCTAAGATTCCAACTTTAAACCCAGTCCCCATTTTGCATCTAGCTGTGGGTAATCACCCTCCTGCTCTGTGTTCTGTCTTCTCATTTTTGAAACAGAGACCCCTCAGCGTGTTCCCATGTACCTCATAGGTCTATTGAATGACCACAATTCAATCATATGTGTACAACTCTTTGAAAACAATCAGGAAGAGAAATAGAAACTATTATATCATTAACTAACATAACACTGTCTTGACTGTACTCATTCCTCCTGCTGTCTCGTTCCTGGAGAGTCCCAAACATGGAATCAAGATTTCTTCATCATCCACCTCCACTCAGTCCCTGCTGTTCAACCTCTGTGGAAACACAGGGCCCTCTGGGGGTCTCCTCTAACTGAGGGATCCACAAAGCTGCAGGGGAAGAGGAGTCACTTCTGGGCTTCTCATGGAGGGGGGTGACCTGGAAATTCCTGTGAGGTGAGGCTGCAGGGTTGACGACAGAGGTGACCACAACTCGGAGAAGCAGCCCCTGGGGGATTCTGAGACCATCCCTGAAGGAGAATCAATGGTGGTTGAGCTTGTAGGGAAGGAAGACATTTCCTCTTCCCAAATGGGGGTTCGTCTGGCCGGAGAATGAATTAAATTCACATGAGACAGAATAGCAAGAGAAAATTAAACAAAGCTTTATGAGGAACCATGGCCCAGGGCCTTTCTTCCCAAAGGAAGAAAGGGCACCGAAGAAGTGGGGTGCACAGAGTGGTTATATACCCCCAAACAGGGTGTTTCACATATGATGAAATGTCCCTCCCACAATAGTCACAAGATTGCCCTGTTGGCACAGCGCTTGATGGACACAGCAGGTAGTGGTCTGCTATCTCGGTGGGCGTAGCAGGAGGCAAGTCTATTGTCTGGAGCTGGGCGGTCACAGGTGAGCACAGCAATCAGTTCCTAGCCTAAGGAAAGATGCTTAATCCTTAAAGAAATGCCAACGTTGGGAGGGGGAGGGAAGTTAGTTACAGGAGGTTACCAGAGAAGCACAATAAAATGCAGATTTAAGTCCTTGCCTTTGGCATCGATTAAGAGTTTCTAGAGAGAAGGTCCTCTCCTTTCTTCTTCCTGGTACAGAGAGGGAGGCACCTTTTACAGATAGAGATTTACCTTCAAATGTAAATGTGTCCTAACAAAGGGCAAGTTCCATTCCTCAGAGCCTCCTTCCCTGTCCCAGTTTATCAAAAGCAATCAGCCTCAAATAATCCTGATGCCAAAGAAACATATCTTGGGGTGGCCATTTCCAGCTCCCTACAAGCTCTTACCATCACGCTTTACCAACACTTCCAGGAGAGTATGAGTATTATGCCGATTTTACAGATCAGCAGACAGAGGTGCAGAAAGCTTATTAACTGAGTTGTAATGGCCGACCGTCAGGATTCAAACCAGGACCTGACTGAGTAAGAGCTGGAAGGCTTTACTTCCCTCTCTCATGTGTCCCACTGACCACTCACCTTTCTTGACTCACTTTCAGGGTTCTATCCTTGCTGCCTGTCTGGATTCCTCAGCCCCACCCCTCGGTCTGGCCCCCTCAGACTACTGCCAGGAATTAAGTTCTCTCCCTCTTCCCTCGGGCTCTAGGGCAGGCCCTGTACCCCAGGGCCTTGCTCCAGAAAGAGCTCCTCCCCCTCCAGATGAAACTCCCCTCTGCTGGCAGGGCCTGCAGTCCCCTCAGTGCACACACACACAGCCTCACACTGCACGCTGCACAAGCAAGTCACACAGGAGAAATACTCGCTCTCAGTCCCAACTCCAAACAGACCCCGCCTCCTCCTCAGTTGCTGCAGAGCCCTAAACCTGCTCCTTTTACCACATTCTCATAACCTGCCAGTACCTGAAAGGAGAAGACATGGGGGCTCCTCCAGCGGAGGCAAGAGGACCCTGGATCCAACTCCAGACATTTCTGACCTCCTGGCTGGTCAGAGAGCAAGACTGGGATCAGCAGGTGGACGAGGCCCATATGCTGCAGCAGAAGAGGTATGTCATGCCACATCCCACCTCTCACTGATCCTCAAACCCTCCAACCCACACGGGTCTGTCTCCCTGGTGGAGCGCCCCAGAATTCAGCACCAGGCACTTGGATATACCCTTCCCCCGCAGCCCACTCATTACAAAAACCCATCTGCCCTTCTCAGTGGTGGTGGGGGCTGTGGTGTCGAGCCACACAGGGGGATCTGGAATGCAGATTCAAAGGCAGGGGCACAGTGATAGCCAAGGCTCTAACCCTCCTGACCGGTGGAAGACTGGGGTGGATGACTGAAGGGGACTAGATGGAAGAAGCCAGGGTGTTGGGTTTGGGAGGACAGGCAGGTGTAGGCTGGTGGGGAGCAGGTTGTTGGGGAAGGGATGAGACCCTGTGGGCTTGAGAAGACTTGTTGGTTGAATAAAAAATGAAAAATTACCGTTAATGTGAATGAAAGTTGATTGTGTGGGAAAAGAGAGAGGAGAATTGTTTTGAAGGACACCTGGAGCTGTACAACTGAGGAGGGAAACCCGAGTGACATTGGAGAGTCCTTAGTTCAGTTCATCTACCTTTTATGAGTCTGCTGTGTGCAGTGGTGTGCTAGGAACTGAGGAATCAGAGACTGAATTCGCCCGTGCCTGCTCCTGGCGCGCTTTCAGTTCAGGCCGGGCTGATCTACCTGGGGGTAGATCATTTCATGGCTGGCCCTGAGATCCAGACCCTGGAAGAGCCGCCAGGGCAGGGACCCATCCTGCAGGGGGGGCTCTGCCTCAGAGTGTTGGGGGGACTTGTCTCCCATCAGAGAGCTGCCTGGGGGATGGGGTGAGCAGGCATTAGCAGATGTGGGGCTCTGCCAGGGCTGGTTTCATGGACA